GGGAGCCGCGATCGGCCAAACCTGCGGATGCGGCAGGTAAACAAACTGGCCCAGCCTGCCAGGGGCTTTCCCTAAACAAGTGGCGTCCAAAGTTTGGGAAACACTGTATTATTGCATTCCTTTATTTTTCACTCTTTCCATTTGGTTCATTCCATTTATCTCAGTTCCTTTTCTTGCTTTCTCATTTCCATCTACAAACTTTTTTGCATGGCTCGCTCTCATTTATCTCCTTTTCTTGACTTGAAAAGCAGCATATTTTTTCTTCTTATCCTTTCCTATTCACCTCTGTTATTTTATGTGTTCTCCCTTACTTCCCTTTTTTTGTTCTTTCTTCTTCTTCTCTCCACATTATTTTATTGATTCTTCATGATCCCTTCTCCCTCATTTCTCTTTCTGTCCCATCGGCTCCTCCTCGAATTCCTATATTCCTTCTCCCGCAGATCCAACCCTCTTCCTCTTCGCCTTATGATGATGCCTCTTTCATCCATGTCTCCTCATAGGAATTTATTCTTCCACTAATTCCTAAGAAGGGTTGTTGCTTCTGAGGGCGAAAAGGCCAGGTTGATTATTCTGCCCCATACATTCACAATTAAGCTTGTTGGACTGATACATTTTTTGACAACTTTGAGCTCAACATTTATGTTCATAGCTGACTTTGAAACCTCTGAATACTGTAGATTCTAACAGGAAATGCTAATGGGTCATTAATGATAATAATGACTTATTATATAAGAAGGGTAGGCTAGGTCAATAAATTCATGAGATAAAGCACAGTAGCTAGGAACCTACCCTGAAGTTTTTTCTTGCTGATATAAATGATATGATGTAAATTCTTAGCCCATAAGCCAGCTTCATATTGCTTTAATGCCATAGGACTGTACCCTTTTGAACTGTATTGTTGCAAACCTCCTATTATTATGGCTGAGGTCTGTGGTAGACTATCCGCAGCTTCATTAGACACTAATGGAAATGTAAGGCTTTAGTAATTCAGCTCTTTATAGAGGCACTGGATGTTGGACAACTAAAGACCTACATATCAAATAAAGAATACATCCCTCATTGATTAAGAGGAATTGGGGCCTACACTGTTAGTCCCAGAAACCCACCATCAAATTCTGCTCTCCTGAGCGCTCTCTCTCATGGTCTTCCCTTAGTTACGCCAGCCCCTATGGTATGTACATTCAAGTTCTCCCATCTATGTTTTCTCACTGATTCCTCTTCTCAAGCTTCCCCTGCAGTTTCCCTCCTTTCCAGTTTCTCCGCTTCCATTTTCACAACAACACTACATGGACTCAGCTCTCTCGCTAAATCTCACATGTCCCTGTCTCGCACTCCATTTCACTATAGTAACAGACACACAGCCCTAGAGAATAATGCACTAGGGCATGACTAGGCAAGGAGGCAGAGTTAATGGGAGTCTAGCAACCAAAGTCCTCCACATCAAGTTGAGAGAATTTCCCTATATCTGCTTATGTTCTTATTCAAGCATAGACATGAGTGGTCTGTCTGCATTTCTTTAGGCCAGATTCCTGAATCACATGATTTCCTTCTTTTCTTTCTTCTCCTTCCCTGATGGGTCATGTGGGCCAAGGAAACAGCCAGTTTGTCAGTTTGTTTAAATGTTAATGTATTACTCTTTTCTTTTGAGTAATCTAGTTTTTAATTGTTCTAAAACTGGCTCTGTCTGCATCTCACAACTTTCCTGCATTTCATTTACTGTTTCTGAAGTTGACAAACAGCAGTTTGAGACTATTATTTTTTCTATTGAGGTAGTGTCTAATGGCCTCAGTAAGGATTGGACTTTCATTGTATTAGACCCTATACAAAAATCGAGGAAAACATAGTCCCTTTCCCAAAGAATTCACAAACGAGGTCCCAGATTCTGCAACTGGATCTAAATGGGCAGACCCATGGGCCCATGTGTTGGAGCTCACTGAAGTTAGTGGGGCTCATGAATCCAGCTGCTGTATCAGGGCCCAAGTTCTTTAAGAGAAAGATTGTGCTCCTTTTAAGGAGTATGGCTTGTTACACTTGTCACAGAAGAGACTATTTCTCTTAGCGCAGAACCGATATCTAGATTCCCAAAGAGATTTTCACCACCTCACTTGGAAAAAAATTGCTTAAATGGAAATTGATGAGCCCAGCACTTAAAAAGTATGTTCTTGCTTTTATACTTTTCTTTTTGTTACCAACAACAGTAAAAAATGGCATACAAATTAAATAAAATTTACCTGAAGAAAATGCATATTTAGTGCACACCATTAAAAATTCTTTAGAAAATACCATCTACCACCATCACTAGGGAGTCACAAATGTTGACTTTTTTATTACATCCACTGTAATAATAAATCAGTATTAAAATCTGTGCATGTTATACATCCATGCAGGGAGGAGACCTACAGGAACTGCCAGATACTGCAGGAGGAACATGTGGTGACGTGGCTACCTTGTCCCCAGGGAGCCTTCTCTACCTTACACTGATAGGGCCCCATCTGTTTGGCTGTTTGATGGAGGTGGGATGGAATGAGTTCACATTAACAAGGGGGAATGCAGCTTAACAGACTTCTGAACAGCTAGGAGGAGGAAGGGATGAGTTTGCAAAGATTAATTATTAGAAAAGGGGTAAAAATACTCACAATTGAAAGTAGTTAACAGGTAAAGTAAATTAAAAAAATAGCACTCTGCTGATATGCTGTATCTTTTTCCTCCATCTGCTGCCACCTGCTTTGTTGTTGTTGTTGTAGACTGTAATCTTTTTAGGTCAAGGACTATGTCTTCCTATGTCTGTACATATTGTCTGTATGCATACTGCATATAGTTTGTGACATGAGCATCTGTATAATATATTTTATTGTTTTCAATGTACAGAAGGTCCTTGTCTGGTACACACAATTACTGGAGATTTGCTGAGAGCACTTGAAGGGACTGAAAACTGCTTGTACCCTCGCTTAATTTCAGTATCTAGTGAAGGCCACTGCATCATCTACTATGAGCGAGGACGGTTCAGCAATTTCAGCATTAATGGCAAACTCTTAGCTCAGATGGAGATCAGTGACTCAACCAGGGTAAATCTAAATGCAAACAACCATTTGACACAGCAGTTCTTTTTTAAAATAAATGGAATGTATTTGCAATGTTACTTAGAGAAAATACAGAGGTGAAAGTGGGCCGGTATGGGCTGGTACGGCATACCAGTAAGAAGTGGCCGCCGGTACCGGCCCACACACAGCCCACGTTAAAGCACCGACGGGTAGGCACCCTACCAGCAGGGTTGCCGACAGGGGGGCACAAAAGGGGCAGCTGCCCTGGGGCCTGGCGATTTAAAAGGGCTCGGGGCTCCCGGCCGCTGTTGCCCCTACCGTGGCAGTGGCCGGAGCCCCGGGCCCTTTAAATCACCGCCAGAGCCCCAGTCGGCACAGACCGGGCAGCGTGGAAGGGCTGGCTTAGGGAGGCTGACCCCAGCCCCACCCCTTCTGCCCGAGGCCCCGCCCCTTCCGGGGGCCCATGTCGGTAAGTCTTTTATCTTACTTTCACCCCTGAGAAAATAACGCGTGTAAAATTGCTGTTCTCAGAAAATGTAATGTTCAAATAGATATCCTTTTATGTCCATCTCAAGTCAGCAGTGAACTCATGCTTTTTCAAAATAAGTAAGAACAAATTGTTTTTGATACCAGATGATTCCTGGAATTTAAGTTCAGACTTAAATTTCAGCGGGAAATATGTCTTTAAAACAAAATTGTTTGAAATTAATTCCTTCTTTACTTATTAGCAAAGACATGAATTCAGGCCCTGTTCTATCAGTAGCACTTGAAGCAGTGTAAGGAATGCAGATCTCTACTCTGCCTTAGGTGTTAGTGATGGCATCAAATACTGCAGGGCAAACACAAGTTTTGCATGCTGAACTCAAGTCTTGGCACTTAAAAGCTTTGTAGGTCGCAGGTGAAATTTATTTATTTTTCATTTTAAAGGCACACAGGTAATTTATTGAAGATTTGGGGTCCCTAAACAGTTGTTATTTTTAAGTATTTCTCTTCACCTTTAAATGTGGGTAGAAACATAAACATACACTCCATTAGTGAAAGCTATTTGTGGGGCTGTTTGTCAGTTTTCCCCAATATTACCTGAAGTTACCGGTTTTGTTTGTCTCTTCTGAAGGCCATCCTCCTGAGCAGTGATGGACAGAACCTCGTGACTGGGGGGGACAATGGAGTAGTGGAAGTGTGGCAGGCTTGTGATTTTAAACAGCTCTATATTTACCCTGGCTGTGATGCTGGCATTAGAGCAATGGACTTGTCTCATGATCAGAGGTGAGTTGCTGCATTAGAATTAAAATCATCCAGTAAATATTAAACAAAACTATTAAATACTGTTTCCTTGATGTTAGCATGTTAAACTACTGTTATACTTAATTTAAAATATGTGATACAACTAAGCTCTCAGTTATTTCCTGTTGATCTAGCTGAATTGACATTTTAGGCTCTGATCCTATAGGCACTTCTACATCTGCTTAACTTTAAGCAGACACATAGTCCCATGCACCATTTCCTCCCTTAGTGTAAATCAGGAAAATTACATTGACTTCATCTGAGATACACTGATTTATGGCAGCTAAGGATCTGGCTTGATTGCATATGCATAAGTGTTTGCAGGATCAGGGCCTGAGTGAGTATTGTATTATCATTGGCCAGTGCAGGGATGTATGAGCCTGATCTCTGAATCTCCTATTTTAGTGTGATTAAAATGTAAGTCTTAATGATGTATTTATACCGGGTTGTAAGTGGGTTTAGTTTTTGCATCATTTGCCAGTATGGTGTTTGTCAGCAAAACTCACACTCATGAAATGTGAAGAATACATAGATTTTTAAAAATCCTATAGTATTCATTTCAGCTTATTTTTCTTACACTTTTTAGAATTTTTATACTATGTGCCACTGTTTGATACAACACCAAAAATATCCATACATCAAATACCTACTCAATTTATTTGTGTTTCATTTGATGATCTGAAAGAAGATTTCTGTCTCAGCCAAATCAAAACTAACTTACAAAATGAGGCTTATTTACTCTTGGAATTCTGCCAGTTTATGTTACAGTGCTGTACAGCGTTCTATAGCTTCTTGTTTACAATAAGCAAATATAGCAGATTCTTTTTACTAGACTAATTTCTCTATCTTCTGATTCTAATGCTGGGTTCTGAAATCCCATTTCAGCAATGCACATAAGCACAGGCTTACTTTCAGCACGATTTAAGTGGGACGGATAGAATGCATTTTGTATTGTTTGGTATCAGCAATTGGTTGACATCCAAGATCCAGTTGTAGGAGGCAGATAAGAAAAACTCAGACGCACAATTAAAGGAGTCAGTTGTAACTAGAAACTCATCACAATTACTTCTGCTAAAGAAAGAAACTAGGAGTATATTCAGTATGAAACTTTTTAAGAGCACCTAATTAGCGCAATATGCATTTATATATAACTGTCAAAGAGAAGCCCCTGTTCTGTTGCTATTTTTAATATTCAGCGTAACCTGCAGTTTTTGAAAGTTAAAAGATGACTAATATATGGGTAAAAAATGTAACAAGTTCAGTATCTATCTTTTTACCTTTTTCAGAACTCTGATTACTGGCATGGCTTCTGGTAGCATTGTAGCTTTTAATATAGATTTCAATCGGTGGCATTATGAGCATCAGAACAGATACTGAAGCTGAATGAAGAACTGAAAGCCAAGGTAAAGCTGAGAGCACAAGTGCTACAATGAAAGGCGTAATCTCTGGTGGAAAAACACGTCTGCATTGACCTCCGTTGTACATTCCATTACACCCAGCAATAGCTGTACATTGTAGTCAGCAACCATTTTATTTTGTGTGTTTTTTCACAACTGAACACCAGCTGCTGAAAAGCAAGCTTGTATCATGTAAATTATATGAATTAGGAGATGTTTTGGTAATTATTTCATATATCTTTGTTTATTGAGAAAAGGTAGTAGGATGCGCCACAAGAGACTTTCGAAAATTCTGAGGAACCTTGTGTCCAGTTGTTACGATGTTTAGTCTGTGAATCTAACATGCATCCCATTTCCAGTCTCTTTTCAAGCTGAGAAAAAAAAAATATGTTTGATACTTTGTACATCAGATGCACATCTTAACTTTGAAGGGATACTTTTGTAAAAGTAAAACCTTGTATAAAGAACAAAAATGTTTCTTAATTTTATTGTGGAGTTACAACTTGCATGTACTTTAAACCTGATGTCTTGATGGAACAGGGGTATTCACACAAATCAAACTGGAGATCTGTCTAAGGGTGCAGCTTGCATTAAAGGGTTGAATTTGGGTGCAATCAGTAATTTTGACATTTTCACCAAAATATGTTTTTCACTTTTTAAATCTAAACTCATTCTCTTCCAAGTGGAGTTTTGCTCATGAAGCATTTGGATAAGAAGCCATCATTTGCCATACTTATACAATGAAAGTTAAATTCTTCCCTTTTAAACTTATAGACAAGTCAGAAAGGGAGCATAGTGGAAAGGTTCTGATTTTCATTATATCAAGAGTCTTGTAATGCTCTTTAGTGCTTAATGACTCCCAACAAGGCAAGAGTGCTATACTTCTGGATTCATCACATTTGGCATATGGTCCACTGAGGGAAGAGGGCCTCAGTTACATTTTTCTCTTATTTTTCCTCTGAATAGCTTGGTTTGTTTAACAACCTTAGCTTTTATTGCAAAGATAAGTTATTCTTTTAGGTTCTTCTGAAAATCTCACCGGAAGTCACATTCTCAGCCTAAGGCACTTCATGTTTTACAGTACTGTAATGATGACTATCAGAATAATTTTCCACACATTGTACTGATCAAATTACACACCCAGGGGTATATACACTTTATTTCATGTTTCTTCTTTGTATATTTGGTGACTGTATTGTCATAGATGTACATATTGTGTCGGTAGGGCTATGAGGCATGTAACAGGAATGTAATTTTCTCAGAATTTACACTCACTTGCAGTCATTTATTTAAAATGATAATGGATTCTTTGTATTGGCACTTTGCACCAGAAACATATCATTATTTATTGATGTGATTACTTATTTGTTATTCACCTTGTATTAGTAAGTTTTAGCACTGAATTCCTTCTTCATTGTTGTTTGTATTTAAAAGATTCTGAAATCATGGGGAATCAACGTAATGATTAAGTTATTCATCACCAGTCTGTAAGCAATATCTTGAGTTTATAGCTTAGAATTGGGAGAATACTGAACATCTGGAAGACAAGTTCATTTCATCTTGAGATCATGGTGAAATATTTTGGATATATAAATTCCTTAAGCTATTGTAACCATGTTTTATTGCAAAGATGTAAAATATGCCAGATGTGTGTGAGTTGGAAATCCAAAAAAGAAAAATAAAATATGCAAAGAATTCAGTGATTGTTTTTTATTTCATTGAACTTTTCATCAAAACATCCACATCGTCACTGGAAATAAATAATAGTTTTAAGAAATGTTCTCTATTATAATCAGTGTCTA